GGGGAGAGAGAGAGACGGTGAGAGAGAGATGGGAGAGAATGAAATGGTTAGGGTTTGTGGTGTATATGAATTAATTTATAATAATATTATTAATATATTGATTTATAATAAACATTAAATAAAAAATTAAAACCTGATTTTAGAAAAATTAAACTTCAAATCTGATTAATGAAATGTAAATTTTAAAAACAGGGTTAGGTGTAATTTCCTCGTATTAAATCCTCGTATAAAAAGTCATCTCCTACATACAATTGTTGAAAATTGCTCTCTTTCTTCAGAATTGTCTTCTTCAAAGAAATCTCTGCCTCATCACCATGACTCATATCCTTCCTGCCGCAATTCTTTTGTTTCTGTCGGATTAAACTTTTTTAGCGCAATGTAATTGGTATTATATTGGTGAATCTGTAGCTTCTCAATTATTCATTATCTACAGTTAATTGATGGCGCATACACGAATGAATCGCGTATATTAGTCGTCTCATCGAATTTTGCACCTAAATTTTGTTCTTTTATTGCTTTTCGTGTAGATTTCAATGTATTTAGTGTTTATATTCCTGTTTTCCTTAACTGGTTGTAACGTGGAAACCAAAGGGAAAAGGATAGAGAAAGGGCTCAGGCCCGGACCGGTGGCAAAGGCAAGAATAAAGATGATGGTTTGACCCCAGAGCAGCGCCGTGAAAGGTAATTCCCTTTTTCTTTTTAATTTTTACCATGCTGTCAAAATTCCATGTTTTTTCCTTTGTATCCGTTAGTTCATATTTCTTGTCTAATTGTTAGTAATTTTTGTTGATTTTGCTCAACTTTGGAGTTCTGTTCCAAATTAGTATCTGATTGCTAATTTTTATTTTTCCCTCTTCCAAGATCTTCCAAGAGTTGACTTTATTATTAGTGTTCTTTACCAAGATTCAATTTTAGATATCAGCTCTAATCTGCATACCTGGATTTTGTTTAAAGTTAATATATTAAATTTCATTTTTTTTTCCTTCACAAAATTTTCTAGGTTATTTTTTTCGTTTTTTCTTAATCAAGAAGTTATCTTAGTCATGATGTGCAGATATAAATCATTTACACGTTTCAGAATTTTCTAACTACTTGAGTCTAATGTTTATATTATCATCTTTCTCTTCAAGCGTTTCAAGGTGCAATCATTCATTAACTCCCATATAAATATACGGATTTTAGGTAGGTTGTGTACATAGTAGAGTGGTCTGATTTTGTTATGTCTTTATTCTGGTTCACCTTTGATTATATGTGTTGGTTATATAGGGATGCAAAGGCACTTCAGGAAAAGACTGCAAAGAAGGCAGCACAGGCTGCAGGGGGTGCAGATGCTGGAGGTAAAAGCAACAAGAAATAGGAAATTTTCTTGTTCGTGAGTTTCACAATCTATATTTCTTGCTTATAGCTTATTGTGCTTTCTCCCTTGATTTTATGTTTAATATCCGAAGGATCAGCTTATTAACGACGTTTGTCTGTTTTTCAATTTAGAAGTTGCTACATTTAGAGATGTTTGTTTGTTTTTGTAAGCACAATTTAGATTTGTGAGTTGGCTGATGGTGATAAATATATTGAATTTGGCTCTTTATATTTTTTGGTTTTTGTGATTCCCATTGCGCTTTAGTTCTCAGTTTCATTTTCCACCCATGAAACAGTTGAGTATTTGCTCAGGTCAGTGAGGGCTCATTCACTCTCCATATCCATATAATAGTCTCTTTTATACCTGAGTTCAAAAGGGTTACCTGCTGCACGTACTTGCTTAAACTTCTATGCAACTCAGTTTGATAAATCTAAACATAGTTATATGCAGGTCATCTCTATTTATCATCTTCTTTCACTCTGCTTTATCCAGGGCCAGTTCCATATATTTGTCCAAGTTCCCACTTGATTTTTATGAATTGGGAAAGAGAGGGAGATTAAGAACATTCATTCGAAAAGTTTCTATGGGTAAATCGTGGTTGACCATTTTCAAGGGTTATGATTCAGGAAGTTTAAATACTCAACTCAAAGCTTTGTCCCACCTTTGTAGGCTGACTTTATTTCTAAATATTTCCTGAAAATAAAGATATTAAAGAAATCAGGAATACAAATATAACCTATCTTTTTGTCCTGCTGGATATTGTAGTACACATCTATTGAAAAAGATACAGATATTGATGTGTGAAATTTTTGAGATTAATTTTACCTTTTGGATTCTGTAACTTATATAGGGTTGGCACTGTGAGAAATGCTACTGGCATCAATATTTTTACTCGCGACCATAGATGGCCCTGTTTCTCATGCATATTATTTGATTTTTCTCATTAAAAGATCATGTTAAAATTTTGGAAGTTGGCTTGTCTCCCATCACATCTCCCTTGAGACGTTGGATTTAGTTTGTCCTTTTACATTTCTACTTTCACTTTGATTCAGTTTTTAATGTGTGTTAACTTGATTTATTCCTACATTATGGTTGAGTTTACCACCATGTGTGGAGATCTTTCATAATGCCAATATTGAATCTGGGCTGTGGAATGAAAGAGGATATTACCACTACACAAATGCTATGAGGATTTGGTTTGAAGGGATTTGGAATAGGAAAAACGATCTTTGTCAATATAGATCTGTCATGCGTTACTCTGAATTCATCTGCGTGTAAGATTAATCCACAATCTTGAATTTCCTCGTGTTGCCTTCATCTCAATTCCACTAATCAGTATGGTGTGGATAAATTCCAAATGCATCCTTTGTCACAGGCTTTTTAAAACTTGTTAATTTGCTAATCAAGTACTTAAACTCTGGACTAATCCGCATGGAAAATCTCTCTGCATTCTTGGAATTTCCTCTTTCTTCACGTTACCATGAATTGGCATGGTGTGTGAATTTGCATTGCATCTTCTGTATCAAGGTCCTGTAGACTTGCTTAATTTGTTAATTAGTCAATGGTCTCTTGGCCAACTCTTTGTGCTTGCATCTGCTATGTCAGCTAGAATGGAGTTTTATAGTATACATTTTCTAAGAGGGTTTGTGTACATGTATATAATTTTATGTATATAATGGTGTCCACACCCTCACATGGGATGGGGCCACTTCGGCATATTTCTTTCTAAGAACTACGGTGGTGGGATTAAGGAGGACTGTGTGAATTTACTTGTCTCTCTTGAATCATTATCATAATTTGCAGTATAACCTGTGCTTTACTTTTGAGAATGCATTGAGAGCCATTAATTATGCATTTTCGTGTCAAATCAAGAGGGTACACGGTACACCCGTTGCAGATCTCTTGGTAAATGATCATAATAAAAACTTATCCTCAATTCGTTGTTTTACTTAATTTATTGGTTGGGAGAGTGCTAGGGGCAATAGAGGGAAAGCAAAAAGTTCAAAGCATCTTTTGATAAGGCTCTAGTCATTTCTTTGTCAGATTGAATGCAAAAAATTACTGTACAACAGTCTGAAATTGTCTAAAAATAGACCTAAAATGGGCTCCAAACTGGGGCATGTGTTAGGGAAAAATTCACAATTCAGGTAGGGATAATTATCAAAAATCAGCTGTTTAGTTTTAACTTTATGAAAATCAGGTTTTAACTTTATTTAATAAAAAATAAGGTTATATCATTTTTAATTAATAATGATATTATAAAATTAAAATAACATGTATACTCACCCTACTACCTACTCCCACCAAATTTATTTTAACTATAAAATCCTTATCATTTTTAATTAATAATGATATTATAAAATTAAAATAACCTATATATCCATCCTATCCCCACCAAATATAAAACCTAAATCTATCCAAACCCTAATATATCCAATTCATTTCTCTCATCCTACCATGTCTGCAGCCTCTACCGCCACATTTCTCCAGCGCCGCTGCTTGTCGCCTCCTCCTCCTCGGCTGCGAATCGCAACAACGTCATAGCGACGCGTCGCTGTCGCAGCAGCGTCGTTTGGACTTAAGATAAAGAATAGGGCTAGGAGAAGCTCAGGTGGTCGAAATCCTCGCGTGATGCCGCTCTGGGTTGTTGCGGAAAAAAGTTGTGGGAATTGACCTTGGAACTACGAATTTTGCAGTTGCGGCAATGAAAGGAGGGAAACCGACCATTGTGACTAATGCTGAGGGGCAGAGGACCACGCCGTGTGTAGTTGCTTATACCAAGAGTGGCGACAGGTTGGTGGGCCAAATTGCAAAGAGGCAGGCCGTGGTGAACCCCGAGAACACTTTTTTCTCAATCAAGAGGTTTATTGGTCGGAAAATGTCAGAGGTGGACGAGGAGTCAAAGCAGGTCTCGTACACTGTGGTCAGGGATGAGAATGAAACGTTAAGCTTGAGTGCCCTACCATTAGGAAACAATTTGCAGCTGAGGAAATATCTGCTCAGGTGCATATGTTTTAAATTGCAACTTGCTTCATCGATTCAACTTTAACTAGTCATTTCAAATGTTCGATGTGGTTTTGTGGTCACCAGTTGGAAAGTACCTGAGTTCGTGTTTTGTTATAGACGCTTCCGAATTTTTGTATTTCCATTTGATTGTCTTTAACTGGAAATGGTGAGTTATGGATGGTGGAATAAAGTGTTTAACGAAGTGTATTGGTGGTACATGGTTGTGTTTGGATGGTGGTTGTTGGCATTATTGTTGGTGGGTGGTTGTGGCGATGGAGGTAGTGGCTGCGGCGGACGGATGGGACGAAGAGTGTCTGACCAACTACTTGGTCGATCTATGATCAAGTGTTGGTGGTGTATTGGGATTGGGGGATGGGTGTTTGAGTGTCTGTGACCAACTATATTGATATGTGATCATGAATTGGTGGTGCAATGGGATTGGAGTGTGACCAATTCTTTGGTCGATCTGTGACCAAGTGTTGGTGGTGTACTGGGATTGGGGGACAGATGTTTGGGTCATTGGGTGTATGTGACCAACTATGTGGTCTGTGACTTTAAAATTCATTAATCTGTGACTCAAAATATAATCTGTGACCATCAAATTCGAAAATATGTCATTTCTGTGACCTATAATTTTTTTAACTTGTGATCAATTAAAATTTGTGACCTATAATTTTTTTTTATCAGTGACCAATGAAGTCAATTGTGACCTATAACTTTTTGGTTCTGTGATTTCGAAATAATCTGTGACCAATTAATTTGATAAGTTTTGACTGAAAATTAAAATTTTAACTAATTAATAAGATATATGTGACCAAATTGCATCTGTGACCTTAAAATTCATTACTCTGTTACCTTAAAATATAACATGTGATCTATAATTTTTTTTATCATTGTTGATCTGTGACTTCGAAATAATCTGTGACCAAAATGCATATAACTGTGACCTTAACAATTATCAGAATCGGAGCAGTCGCCGGAAATAAGCGGCGGCAGATCGATCATTGAAATAGTCGCTGGAATTAAGCGTGGTCGGAGATCAGTCGCCGGAGCAGTAGGGGTAGTGGAGATGGGGTGTGGGTGGGTTAATTATATTATATTACAGTTACATATTTAAGTTAATATAATAATTATGAAATATAATTAATTAATTCACGAAAAACCTGATTTTTGCAATTCTAAATCTTGGAGCCTGATTTTTGATTTTGGGATAGATAAAGTCTGAGTTGTGAATTTTTCTCATTCATGTATTAACTATGGGCCAATTCAATTTTTAGGTTTAACGTTTCAAAATTCAAAACTCATAAATAAATAATTAAAAATATTTTATTAATTAAAAATATTAATATTTCAATTATACAATTAATTGTTACAAGTACGTACATATAAGTCGCAACTTATTTATTGGTCTCATTTTATCTAATTAATTGGTCACATATTATTTTACAGACACAAATAAAAAAATTTATAAGTCACTATTCATTAGTCATAAATGTTCAAATTAGTTGGTCAAAAATTATTTTTTAGTCACAAATATAATTTCTAGATCACAATTAAATGATTGGCCACAAATAACCAAATAATTGATCACAAATTAATCAAATAGTTGATTATATACACCAAACACTTCACTCCTACCTCCCATCCACTACCAAATGCTTAGATCACAAATCAACTAAATAGTTGGTCACAAACACTTAAATAATTGGTCACAAACTCTCTTCGTCCCACCTCGTCGTCGTCGCACCACCACAACTGCCACCACGACGCCATCGTAATAGATGACGAACCACAAATCATGGCACACTACCACCGCACCCAATCACTGCACACAATACCACGCCAAGCCACAATTGAATCCAACAACCGCGTAAAATGAAGCAGTCGGGATATTTTTCAAAATGAATTAGGGTTTGTGGGGTGGGTAAAGTGAAGGTGGTAAATTAGTTTAATTTAATAATATTATTATTAGTAATGAAAATTAAATTATCATCTGATTTTTGAACAAAAAACTTTGAAATCTGATTTTTGAAATGGTAACTTAAAATGTCTGGTTCTATGTAATTTCCATTATGCATTATCATTAAAATGAAGTTGTTCTCTATCTGAAACTATCTCGTCCTTTGCTCATTTGAAACTTACTTCAATGCTTCAATGAGATTTTGTCTGGCGAATAGTTGTTTTGCATATAGTATACTTATTAAATAGTTTTACCGATGCCATGCAGCTAGCTGAACCTTGAATAGTCAAAATAGTCATTGAAGTGATTTTCCTACTGTTATAGTCTCTAAACTTTAGCAGTTAAACGAATGGTCTTACGGCTGAAAATATTAACATAAGAGTTAACAAGTTAAGGTTATATGAGAGTTTCCTACCCGCAACGAGTACTACAAGAAAAAGCAAGAGAGCAAAATATACCTTAGTTGCAGATTATTATAACAAAATATGAGACATACTACAAATTTAAAATTTCGTTCGACTTTCAGCACTTCTTTTCTAGCCACCGTCGCTCGTTTCCAACCCTCTGCAACTCGTTTTCAACTTTATGTCGTTCTTTTTTAACTCAAATGCTCTTTCTAAGCAAACGAGATATTAACACCTTTGCTCGAGGTGCAAGTTCGATCCAAACAAACTACAAGCGTTAGAATCATACAAAATTTACCAAAAAAAAAAAATTATATAATGCATTAATTATTAAATCGTGTGATATTGATTACGAAAACGATAAAGCATACAATCCTGCTTTTGGTAAGCAAATACACAAAATTTCACTCCTCAAAACTTGAACTTCGTCAATACCGTGGTCCGTGGACCATATTACTATAGTGATCTTACTTCAAAGTTTGCACATTCCAAGAATTGAAATCTGGATTAGCTTCCATCCACAAAATCTTCATCATACAACTTTTACCGCAGTGAGTTGAACTCTATTTCCAATTCTTTTGGGGCTTAGAACCTTTAACTAGAGGAAATTGGGTAAATTAAAGAAGGATGAAATGAAGAAACACAAAATATGTAAGGTAATATCCAATATATTGTGTAATGGAGAACCATTTATCAAAGCCAATTGAAAAAATTGGGAATGAATTTGGAGAATTAGGGTAACCTATAAAATAAGGAGGATATTATTGGGAGGAAATAAGGTATAATATTAATGTTTTTAATTGAGTGACTGTAAGTGCAAAAAATATAAATGACTATTACAGTAAGAAAATTTGAAATTTACTCCGAACTTTAGTGATCATTGACATATTCGTTTGACGTGATGTAATATATAATTCGTTGGCATTTAACAGTGCCACATAGTATTTGACATTAATATTTGTAACCGAGTGACTACTATTAGAAACTTTAGCAATTACAAATGTAAGAATATTATTTCAATGATCGTTTTAAAATTTATTCCAAACTTCAATGATCAGTATTTAAATTAAACTCTTTTATTTTATCATGTAATTACATTATATAGGGGCAATGGTACTCTTGTATGTCTGGATACATGTAATATTTGTGAATATGGTACAATGAATTGGATGAATATTATATAAATTGGAGAATTAAGAGGGTTAAATAATAAGAGCATGCCCAAGGATGCATTGTTTTGTGGTCCAAAGTTAACGTGCCATCCACGACATTACCAATCAATCCACCATTTGATAAACCCACCCGTGCATGTATATGCTATTTGTACACTAGGGTTTACACCCCCGTTTACCCGGCCACACCTGCCCCCCTCACAATATAGGGGCACGATTATTTTATTCATCGTGGGCCCTCCCCTCATGTGAGGGGAGTGTAAACGGGGGTGTAAACCCCCGTGTACGAATGGTTTTACCCGTGCATGTATCCCTTCATTTGTGCTTAAAGATGTAAAATGAGCTTCTCTTAACTTTATATTTACTTATTTTGTATAGAAACTAGCTTTTTACTTAATTTGAACACACCATTAACTTCTTTTACCCTTTTCTCCCAATATTTACGGTTGATTCGTACATCGAATTTTACGAAATTAAAAAAGACAGACATGTGAAACACCCTACGACATGTTTGGCAGGATGTATATCGATTGTTTATTACTCTTAAATTTGAAAACATGATTAACATATCAACGCTTAATCTAAGTTTCTTGTTTAAATATGAAACGCCGACATTGTTTAAATTTGAAAACGATAATCAACATATAATAATGCTTTAGATTACTAGTCTTAGTGGGTGTTTGGTGAGGATTAAAATTAGATTTTTAGTAGATTGTGATAAAAGTTTTTAAAATGTGTTGTTGAAAAGCTGTGGGACCCATGAAAGATGTGATTAATATTGATTGTTTGACTTTGACTTAGATTAAAATCTGATTTTAATCTGAAACAAACATGATCTTAATAATGTTGGCTTTTTAAGATGGCATTTCAGGTCTCAAAAGGTCAATCATACGTTCATGTCATTCGAATATAGCATATTAATTAAATATATGTTATTTTTAAATTCCATAGAAGTCTGCCTAGAAAGTTTCCTTTGAATCATGCAATCATTTTAGGTTCATCATCCTAACATAAACTAAGTTATCCTAGATTTCACATTTCAAAGTGAATGAATTTGGCTAAAAGAACAGCTAGCTACTTAAGACTTTATATAAGATATATTATTAAGGGCGTGTTCGGTAGAGATTAAAATCGGATTAAAATTAAAAAATTAGTTTGACTTTTATTAGACGAGTGTGACCCAATAATAGCTATATTTTCAATTTTAATTGGATTTTAAACTTAGTCAAACATGCTCTAAGTATCCATTAACACTTTTATAGATGGGTTTAAGCTCAAATTTTATGATTAACTAATATTAATTAGTGGTGATCCAAAATTAATTAGTCACAAACATTTGGATACATTGGACTGTCCATTTGTCAACCAACTTTTTTTTTTTTTTTTAAATTTGTATGGTGGTGTTTTTTTGCAACTAACTTTTGTCTTAAATTTAACGTGAATTTGGCCCACTGTTTTTCTCAACGCCATTAACTTTACATTTTCTAATGATACTATAATATTGTTTTGTCAAATATAAAATGTAAAGAACATGTTTAGTATGATAGACTATACATAATTTGATTGAATAACAGAAAAACTTATCACGTAACATCTTTATTCAGTTCAACGTATTAAGTTATGTTGCATTATATTATCGAGTTCTTTTGGTGGGAGTCTTGATGTTGCCAAATATAAACCGTAAAGAACTTATTGGTATAATGTATGGTATAGAATTTGATTGAACATATTTAATTCAACGTATTAAATACATTAATACCAACTACCTTGTAGTTTTATTAACGTGTTCTTTTGGTGGAAGTCATGACGTTGCTAATGAGGCGTTGGCCAAGAATAAGGATAAGATTTTCTAATCAATATTTACAAAGTTTGGTTGTCTATGCATGTATCTATGTGTGTATACATGCGATTCATAGCCATTTAATCATGATACTACTCAATGCGGATAATGGATTAGCAAATTCATTTTGATAAAATCTAGTTCTTTTTTTTTTTTTTTTTTTTTTTTGGGACTTTTAAAAAATTCATGCTATAGAAGATAACATGAGACAATTGAATATATCAACATATTTAAGAAGATAATTGATCACGATTCATACATATACTCCATTGAATTTTCATGCATTCTATATTTGCAAAATTTTCCAAGTTAATTTTAACTTCTTGATAGATATAAAGGAGGAAAATGTAAGGAATATTGGCTTTTAGCTAGTTTGCCTTCTCTTTCTTGTTTCTTCATATAACTCAAGATTCTAACATGATGATAGGATTAGAATTATGCGGGCAAAAAAAATTGACTTCCTTTTTTTTTTTTTTTTCATATGAAGAATATGCTCGTTAATTGTATGTTTAGAAATTGCGTAACGACATCGTTTTATACTTTAAAAACGTAGATTTTGATTCTTTTGGAAGATGGGTGTGTGACAAAATGTGAAGATAGATTCTATCCGATATTCTCAAGCTCAAGCACACATTTTTGAGCTACACAAGAAGAGAGTTTGTGGTATGCAATTAAAGTAAAGAATATGCATATCACTTTTCAAATCTTCTTTTGTGCTTATTTTCTTATCATGAACTTCAAGTGGCACACTACAGATCAATATAGATTCAATTAAATGATACGTCGAATCGACTCATCCAAAATTTTAAATTGCTAGAGAAGGGAGAAAATTATTCTTATTCCTTATATCTTTGGCAAAATATTACTGATTTATTTGATAGGATGAATTGTATAGCGCGAAACAATATTAAAGAATAAAAAAGAGGCTAAAATCTCATTAACAATATTATTTATTCATGGCATTCTATTCAAAAATAGACTACATGTGTAGATCATATTCATTTTTGTTTCTTACGAAATTTTTTTGATAGTTGTGATGGTACAACTTGATGAGATAACGTTTGTATGATATGAAATGACGACATTGAACTAAATTATTTAAGAATAGACTATTACTCGACAATATATTATAATTTGGGTTGATGAGAATATTAGGGCCCTTGATAGTGCCAAAGTGAAGGGACTAAATACAAAATATATATGGTTGGTGTGGACTTGAACATACATGAGCCATTAGTTATATAAGTAAAAGAATAGTACTGCTGAGATTGATGAAGAATAAGCTGGCAAAATCTCCTTCACCACTCTTGATAATTTAGGCCTTGTTTGACTGCCACATTTTCCATGAAAAATGTTACATCCGAGGAAAACGAATTCCTTAACCGTTTGATTGCAACGTGAAAATGAAAATCGAATTCTAAAGTACAACCACTTTAAGTTGCATTTTCTTTATTTTCATGGAAAATGAATCCGTATGAGTTTGGTGAGTTTTTATTTTTCAACTAACATGAAAATTAAATTCATTTCCACATTTGCATATCAAATAGACGCTTAGAGATAAATAAGATACAAGTGATATTGTAGAACATTCTAAGACTTCTTACCTCGTTCTTTAAAATTGTAAGATTTTGGATAAAAAACGAATTTGAATTGTATGGAAGAGAAGGGCATAGTATTGAGTATAATGAATAAATTCTTCCCTCTTAATGTGAGATAAAAAGAGAGTTCACTTATAATTCTCAGTTCGATGGCCCAAGAGAGTCGTTGAACTTTATGAGAACCCCTAATATTGTTGCGAAATGCATTGAGACGATTAAAGGATAGAGATTCATTTCGAAAAGCATGAAAAAGTATACATAAAAGAATAGAATATAAAGGTTCACAAAGAGCCAAGTCATCATAAAAGTATCTTAACTTGAAGGACATGCAATTTTAAATGAGGATTAATATCAAGATTAATCTCGCACAACATAAATAGATTATGTGTGACAATTAGTGCGTAAAGCAATTATAGCACGTTTGATAAGAAAGATTAATATGGTATAAGTTATAAACTCGTTCAATATTTCATATGAATACATGCTTAATGGGGATGTCATATATATGATTAGGAATATAGTGCTAGTTATTCATCAATCCACAGGTATAGCCTTTTGTTTTGAAAATTAACCAAAGTGAAGTGGTCATGTATTTGTACGTGCAGTCTACTAAAATCTGTCGTATTGTTGTGTTTGAGGTCCAAAGAAACCCAGGAAGGAATAAAGGAGAAAAGAGAAAACTGGAAAAAGATAGAAAAGAAAGAAAAGGCAAAAGCAACTTTCAAAAACATGGCTTCATGTCTCTCTCTGTTAGTCATCAAACACAATAATTCAAGGATACCTCAAATTAACTTAGCCAACACCATGTGCCATCCATTAGTGTAATTCGAAATGACTGAAGGAAAAGAGATTGGATGGGAATCTCCTCCTCCTCTTTCTCTTTGTACCCACGCGAGTGAATCATCTCATATAAAAGTTAAAATGCAGTTTAACACGTATTAAAACATAAAACCCCTCGAGTTTAAATTTCATTGTCAATAGATCATTATCTAATATATTTTTCCGTTCTATTAAGTTGATTATTAGTCGATGGCAAAAAAACCCGCCCCGACGTGTTGGTGGGGCGGGGGAAGAATAAAAAAGAAAATTTGTTTTGGATTTTGTTTGTTTCGAGTGCTTGCTTTGGATATTGATGTAGTTAATTTAACCATTATTTGCTTTTGATTTTAAACTTTTGAATTTGTATTTTAACTGAAAATTAAGCAAAAAAAGGGGCAGGCCCGCGCTTGAGCCCACCCCGCCCTGTGCCCCGCTGCCATCTCTAGTTGGTAAAGTGACTCCAGACTCATCTCAAACGACACATAGAAATGCCAGCAATTAAGTATTCCTAGTTGCTTAATGATCACGTTAATAATAATTCTAATAATCTGATTATTTTTCTAATTAAAATAGAGTAGCTTTTGCTGATAATATCTGTAATTAGAGCTAATCATTAGATGGGCCGCATTTTAATTAGCGATCGATATTAAATTGAGTCTCAAGACGACATTGATTAATAGAAATTTTACTTGTAACCGATGCTTTTGTTGACCTTAATGTAATGGATATCGAGAGCATCATAGTGGAACGAAAATCGAAAGCAAGAATTACACGATTTAGAGTCGTTCATTTTTAATACAAAGTTGTTAAGTAAACTCAATGTTACATGGTTTCACTACAAACTTTCCCATCTCGATTTTTCTACACGAAAATGACTTGTCCTAATATTCTTTATACACGATGTAATATTAAATCGAGAGGGATTAAAACTGTATAATTTATTCTACACCCCAAACAATAAACATTTCAAATCATCATTTTATATTCACCATAAAGTGAAGAGGAATTTGCGATCATGTGGGTGATTGGTAAATCACATGGTCATTAATTAAAAAACATTAAAAATTGCTAATAAAGTAAATCTAATGTCGTTGTTGTCAGTGTCATGGAAGAATATACATCCATCCTGGTAACCCTAAAAAGAAAAGAAAGACAAAAGTGCAGTTGTAAGGTTTTGATTGGTTTCTCAAGCAGAATATTGAGAATTGAGTGCAAATGGCTTCTTCTCTTACCAAATACAAACTTTAATCTCCATTTTTCAGTTAAGTAATGTTTTGTTTCATAATTTAAGATTTAGAAAAAGGTAGTTTATTGTCGTGTGGTCAAATTAAACTGTCGACTACGAGTAGTTTCATGTGAATGGCTTTCAGTAGGAAAAAAAAAATAAATAAATAAAAAATGCACAGTTTGCGCGTCAAATGACTTGTTGATGTAGAAACATAAATGATTTCACCATTTTTCAAGAATAATTTAAGGTTTTGCTTGAGGACCATTAACTTTATTCAACACATAAGCTCCTAGACGAGGTGATTCCTAACTACATGTATAGGCAAAAACATGATGCGATCTAGACGAAGTATATATATCATTTTCCCTACATTTTGTACCATTTCTCTCGTACTTATTTCTTCTCTACAAATTGGATGGACAATAAGCTCCTACCAACTTGTTTAGGAGGGATGGCTGATAAATCAAGATTCTTCGTACATCACAACACTTTTCATAGTCCAAGAGAGGCTGCTTCTGTTCAAGAAGGCGGCAAAGGCTGCAGTGGCGGCGGCGGCGATGGCGATATGAAGTCATCTTTATCATCACCAGATAGAGTGCTTTCAAGTTCAGAATCCAGTTCTCCAACAAATGACGCTTCTGCTACAACTTTGAACCATGGATTCTCCGAAGAAAATTTGTTCAAAGAAGGTAATCAATATCATGCACATTCTTTCCTTCCTGGATTGAATTCTGTGAACCAAAATGGATCTTCTATAGAAGGAATAAATTATGTCCCTTTGAATTTTCTTGAATCATTCCCAGCTTTAAATAAAGCTCAAGCATCTGAACCTTATTCATCATCACCTTCTTTATCTATCAATTCAAGATTCCCAAATTTAGGCCTGTTTCTTCAGAGTCCATCATACTTACAGACCCCATTATTCTCCATGCCTCAACTTGATCAAAACCAGCTTCAGACAGGAAAAGAATGGCTGAAAATGAATCAAAACCTAACAAATTATTCTTCAAAAGGTTTCAGTGATTACTGGCTTAGCACTACTAAAACTCAACCAATGAAGTTAACAGGGAGAACTCAATATGAAAATGGTAAACGTGTCAGAAATGGAAACACTAGCCTTCTAGGAGTGTCCGTCCAACGCAGCGGGTCTTCTTCTTCGGGAAAGCTTTTCAGAGGAGTAAGGCAGAGGCATTGGGGGAAATGGGTTGCAGAAATAAGATTGCCGCGAAACCGAACACGGGTTTGGTTGGGGACTTTTGACACAGCAGAAGAGGCTGCTTTTGCTTATGATACAGCTGCTTATATACTAAGAGGTGATTATGCACATCTGAATTTCCCAGATTTGAAGCATCAAATCAAGACTAATTCCATGAATAACAATACAGCAGCCCTTCTTGAAGCCAAATTGAGAGCAATATCACAAGGGATTCCTGCTTCAAATAAGGCCATCGATCATGATCAAAAGGCAATATTTCTGCAAGAAGATTCAACGGTTAATGGGAATTTGAAGCAAAAATCATCTTCAAGAAAAGAATGGTCCTTAATGGATTTGGAGAGCAAAGCTGGATTGGATCAGGTGATTGAGAACAAGAAGAATAATCAAGAAGGGTTATCCGATATTGATACAGTTCAGTTAAGCACAATGCCATCTCTGGACATGGATACAATCTGGGATGCACTTCTTGTGTCAGATTCATGAACACACAAGCCGGAATTGATCATGAAAATTCACAAATTCTTGTACTTCGAGGACACGTTTGGTGCGCATCACTGAATAGTTCAATTAATGAATAAACTTTAAGCTTATTTTTCGTCTTTAATCATGTTCAATGCTGTCTACTGTATATATTATTTTTTTGATGATTATGTTAGTTTTTGAAAGCTTTTCTAATATATGCAATGTTTGATGAATTTCAAGGCTTCATAACAGTATGAATTACAGAAAAAGCTATTTTAATAGCTACAAATGCCCATGTGCTTATATGGTTCAAATTATTTCCGCAACGAGCACAGTCCTTGTGTTCAATTGCCATCATTGAGTTTGAAATCCTGAATAGATTGTTGGGGATAAGATAGAGGAAGGTGAGGATGACGTAAGTCATCATGCCCCTTATGCCCCGGGCGAAACACGTGCTGCAATGGTTGGGAGAAAGGATTGCGATCCTGCGATGGCAAATGTCATAGCTGTTAGGATGTGTAAATTAGGCCGGTTCACACTTCTTTAGCCCACTTGGAAATTGTATGGGGCGAGCTACGATCTACAGTTAATGTGTATCAAATCATACTCCAGGCAAAAATTTTTTGGCCCATCATAGCTCAGAAGCGTAATGGGTGAAGAGTCAAAATTTTGGCTATTCCTCGCGAGTCACAGAATTTTGAATCTGAATTCTAGATTTTTTGCTCAAATGAAAGCCCCTTACCATGCCATTAGATTGATTACAATCAAGTGATGCTCACCTCTCCTTGAGGCCAAAGATTGTATCTATTTTGTGCAGGACCATTGATTTTCTATTAAAAAATCTGAATCTTGCAAAGACCCAAAGGTCTGCACGCGTGCCTCGACGAAACCTAGTGCATAAATGGTATTTTCTTATTTTTAATAGCACTTCAGTTATTTTTGACCATTAATACAAAATAACACATGTCAAACAACTCAATCATAAAATCTATAGTTAATAGTTCCTAGAAGAAGACAATTTTCAAGTTACCAAAAGCTAGAAGATGGAGATCGAAAGCACAAGACCCTGTAAATGGCCCAAGAAATCATTCTCACTAATTTAGTTCCTAGGCCCACATTAGACATAGGTCTGAGAAATGGCTGCAAAAAAGTAAGGGGTTGTTCTCTTTGGCCGTTTTGGGTCGTTTTCTGTTTTCGATTTTTCAAAACAGTGAAAACACGTTCTCTTTTCTATTTTCAAAAATGCGTTTTTAAAAACTAAAAAAAATTTGTACACAAAACTCAAAACGACCAAACGGTCGTTTTGAGTGTTTTCTAGCCAAAACCTCAAAAATTTGAAAACGCGGAAAACGTTGGATGAAAACTGAAATTGGGAGAATCTACAGACAACTCGCCTCACTCCCCTCTATCACCTCCCATCCTTTCACCACCAATTGGAAGAATCAGCAAAAGCAACCTCGCCTCACCGCCGGATTCCACCACCAACAACCTCGTCACACTTCTCTCTATCACCTCCAACCATTCATCAGCCAATCAGCAAAAGCAACCTCACCTCGAGTTTTGCAAATTCCGGCGTCGTCCGACCGTCCCACAATCGCGGACCACATGGGTTAGCCTCCTCTCCACCTGGTGTACCTTGACCAACCATGGGTCAAGGCCAATTTTACATAAAGGTTTCACTTCTTGTGTTGATTTTGTAATGTGGATAAATTGTCCTAAATATTGATTTCTATTGTTCACTTGGTTCTTGTTATAGACTAGAAGCCAATGACAGTGGTCACAGAAAGGAGAAGGGAAGCCAAAGACAGTGGTCACAGAAAAGTTATTTGGCTATGATATCATTTTCGATTGTATGTTTTTTCTATTCTGTGAAGCGTTCTTTGATTTTGTTTCATGTGCATACTTGCTGACTTGCTGTAGGAACTTTTTAGTGCTTACAGAAAAGTTGCATATATAAATCATGCTCATTGTTGCTGTTTCAATATAGCTTGTACCTTAAGGCTCACAGTTCGTGTTCGGAGACAACCGGAATTTTACTAAAAATTATCTGGCTTTAGCAACTTTTTCTGTCAATGAATTCTTGCTTTTTTTTTTGCATGATATCTGTTATGTTTTGCTTATGATATATTTATTTTCTGTTAATAATTGGAGATCAAAATTTAGTGATTATCCCAATATTCACAAATTGTTTG